TTCCCTAGCTTCTTCATAAGAAAAAAAGTTGAATTTAAAGATAAATATTCTTACCCTTTTTCAATCTATATCTTTTCTTGAATATACCAGTTATTGATTTTGTTTATTTTTGAACTTTTTTGCCTTTTGATTTCATAGCAAACAAATCATCAACAACAAGGAGGTGGTAATGATCAGAATAATCATCAGCTTCCTCCGCCCCCACCTCAAGAAGCTGGATGTAATTCAGAAGGTGGCGGCAGCGGCTCAAGCTCGATCAGGCCTGGATCCATGTCTGATCGAGCCCGGCTAGCCAAGATGCCGCAGCCAGAGACCGCACTGAAATGCCCTCGATGTGAATCCATAAACACCAAGTTTTGCTACTTCAACAATTACAGCCTTTCACAGCCTCGTCACTTTTGCAAGACCTGCAGGCGCTACTGGACCAGAGGAGGAGCGTTGAGAAGTGTGCCGGTCGGAGGAGGCTGTCGAAGAAACAAAAGAAGCAAAGGCAGCGGCGGCAGCGGCAGGTCAAAATCTCCAGCCGCAGCCGGTAATTCCAGCTCAAGCACAGTCCACTCTTCCAACAGCTGCAGCACCAGTGACAATATCATAGGCCATTTGGCTCATCCACCACCACATCAATTACCATTTTTGCCCTCTTTACATCATCTTGGTGATTATGGTTCCGGGGACATGATAGGGTTAAATAATTTTGGGGGCATGAACCAAGCTGCTGATGTTGAATTTCAACAACATCAGTTTGGCTCGGACCGGTTGACGGTCCGGCCAAATTTAGGCATCAACATGATCAACACTGAGCATTGGAGGTCATCACTGCTTCAGCATCAAGTTCAGCAATTTCCTAATTTCTTGGCTAATTTGGAACCACCAACTAGTTCTCATGGGATGTACCAATTTGAAGGTGGAAATGTTCATCAAAATGTTGGCCTCCTTCCAATGTCTAAGCCATTGGATTCTGTGAGTCCTGGGGTTGCTGCTACTCAGATGGCTAATGTGAAGATGGAAGACAATAATCATCAAGCATTGAATTTGTCAAGAAATTTTTTGGGCAGCCTTGGAAATGATCATCACCAATACTGGGGTAATAATGGTGGTGGTGGCAATGCTTGGACTGATCTTTCTGGTTTCACTACTTCTTCCACCAGCCATCTCTTATGAAGTTTTATCTTGATCATATGATCACTTTGATCTTCTCCAACTATATCAATTACAGGTTCCACAAAAGGAAAATGATCGAGTGCTACTGGCGAAGATATTGAGTTTCAACCAACCTATTCCACCCTAACTTTTCATGAGTTCTCGAAGTGGAAGCCCGGAAATATATGTAAGATGAAATGGGAAGATGGAGCAATATCTCTTCATATTTTGTTGAAAGATTACCTTAGAAATGGTAGGCTTTCTAGTTTTGAAATTGTTTGTTTGTTTTTCCTTTTTATTGCTTTAGTGTTTGGGAGGGTTATGTCCAAAGTAGCTAGCTAGCTATGCTTGTAATTCATGCGGGAGACTTGGAGTATCTGACATTTTGAAGGGCCAGATTGTCATAATATATCAAATATGAATGCTATGTGTACCAAGTTTCCTTCACTGATTTTATGAAATTGTGTCCGTCAAAGTTTTGTCCATTAATCTTTACTTATAAGCTAGCTATACTCATTAATTTCAGTGAAAGGCTGGACATTATTTCGAAAAATTGCCCACATTATCTCTGCCAGACTGCCAGAGGCAGAAGCAATTAATATATCAGTTTTCGTTTTTAGGCCACTGCAAGCAAGCTTCATTCTCAATTGTTGGGTCATTTCTGTTTCATATTTCTGGAACATGAAAGAGTAGTGTTCCTTCAATCTCAATTTTTACCCCCACCCCCTTCGCTCAAAAAGTTTGTGCCCATACTTTAAATTTAGAGAGAGAGAGAGAGAGAGAGAGAGAGAGAGAGAGAGAGGGGAGAGGGGGGTTGAGTGAGGAGTGAATGAGGATGTGTTTTTTTTTGGTGCGCGTGCGCGGAGAACAGAGAGGCAGAAGCAATTAATATATCAGTTTTCGTTTTTAGGCCACTGCAAGCAAGCTTCATTCTCAATTGTTGGGTCATTTCTGTTTCATATTTCTGGAACATGAAAGAGTAGTGTTCCTTCAATCTCAATTTTTACCCCCACCCCCTTCGCTCAAAAAGTTTGTGCCCATACTTTAAATTTAGAGAGAGAGAGAGAGAGAGAGAGAGAGAGAGAGAGAAAGGAGAGTAGGGTTTAGTGAGTAGTGAATTAGAAGATGTTTTTTTTTTGGTTGCAAGTGCGATGACCAGAATGATTACGCAATTATAAGAAATTGACCAAAACGAGACGTACTTGTATTTTTTTGGTTGTGAACTCAGATTTAAATCGATGGACGATTTACAAAGAAGCTAAGAGAAACGCCAAAATCCCACTCAAAACCATGCAAAAGAACAAGGATTCTTGGAATTTTGTTGCGAAAATATACTAACCTAAAGAGGGTATAGGACCATGCTACAGAGAGTCAAAAAAGCATAAGAAAAAAACCAAAAAGAAGAAAAGAAATTCGAGACCCTCTTAACATTTGTTTGGTTTTGGTCTTTCCTCTCCTTTCTAATCAAAGTAAATTAAAGTAAAAACAACAGTCATTATTGTTTTTGAGGTAATGGAATCTGGGTTTTGGATTTGCTTTTGCACTAACCAAGGTAGCTGTGTAAGCCTGCAATAAAACCGTCAAAAAAGCGACTCCATCTCTGTCGACTGTCTCACTAGAGCAACAGCAGTCAAGGTTGTTTTTTGTGGTTGGTCGTTGGTCGTTGGTCGTAGACAGTGATGTTTGAAATTTTTTACAGGAGCTATAGTTAACTAGTTGTAAAACTTTTTTCGGTTTTAATTGAGTTAAAAGTATTATTTTAATTCAATATTAATAAAGCATCTAATCCAAAACTAACGAAATTGTTAAAGCCGATCCATCTGGGTGTTGACGAAGAAGAAGAAGAAGAAGAAAGAGCTCGGAAATCCAAGCTTTGGTTAGTACATGAGATTAATATTGGTGATGGCCACATCACATGTGATAGGCGTGAAGATGTTCTCTCTGTTTCCATGGCAGCTTTTCCTTTTTGTGACGTCCTTGTCCCTGTCCTTGCTCTTCTTCTTAACTAACGCTCCCTCTCTATCTTTTCTCTCTGTCTGTGTGTGATGATATATATATTCATATACATGGACTGCAGGCACACGCACAGATTCCAATCTATGCTTCTAAAATTCTTGGACACAGGGGCCTCACGTTCTCCCACATGTGCTCAATCATATATGTGTTAGTTAGATTCCTGCTCACTTCTACATAGAATCTCAATAGTAAATATATAATTACAATATGCACGGATCCAACAAAACATAATTCTTACTCCTATCAATTAGGTATTATAGTAATAGTACTAGGAGAATGCTACCCTATATGTCAAGTTGTTCATGTATGTGTATGTCATAACCGTTGATGAAATCGATCTAGTTTATATTGATTGTCCGTTTTGAAGTGCTTTTGAGAAGACTAAAAACGTAATACATGAAAGTGTTATAAGTTATAAAATATTTTTTTAATTGTCCCTCAAATTCAAATTTTCCTCGGAGTAAAAGAAAAAAGATCATCGTGTAGTGTCAGATATGTCGCTTCTCTTAATTGTGAAGTATAGGCCCATACATACAACTTACAAGGCCATCTCCAAGCCATAAGTTTTGTATAGCCAAAAGAGGAAAATAAACAGAAACCCAATAGCTAGTAAAAGAATATTCGCTTTAGTTGTTTCTTATCTGCCTAAAAGCTTAACCAATGAACTCGTATGTATGAGAGCACTTTCTTTTGGCGAATTATTAAAGAAGAAAGTGAAGTAATAAAAACTTATACATGCACGATGACGCTGAGCATAATTATGATGTTGATAATGTATAATATATATTGCCTAGATCATTTCTTTCATATATAGTCTTTCGCATAACATTGAGGTGTAAGAAAGCAATTTGTGATTGATTGATATATCTTCCTCCCAGCTCTTTCTTTTATCATTACATCATCTACCATAAAATCATATGTGGAAGCTTGCGTAACCAAGCACTAAATCTCAATCAAAACTTCTTGTTTTGTTATCTTTCTTATATTGAACCTTTTTGGGTGGGGAGAGAGAGAGAGAGAGAGAGAGAGAGAGAGAGGAATGTTTGACTGGTCTCAGTGAGAGTCAGGGAAACTTAGCCTTTATAAAAGTAAGAGATGATGAGAGAAATTGGATACATGATTTTAACTTTATCATTTAACTTATGTTCAGTAGACACGCATACATGATTTACCTCTTCGGAATTTTGACTTTCTTTGGAATATATATTAGGGTAACTTAACCTCGACGGAACGAGGAGAAATTTATTTAAAAGAATAATTAAACAGCGAGGGAATAACTGACCAAACCACCCCAAAGATGGGATCAAACTAGACACACAAAATCAGTGAAAGAGAAACATGGGAAAACCCACTAAATTTATAGCATAGGCGGTAGCAGCCCACAAAGGTAAGGAGTACTACCAGTAATAAGCATGGTTATCAGCACCAAAATTTGCTAACATATATGCGACATAATTAACTTCCCGATAAATATGAGTGCAAACAAAATTCATCTATTTAATGTGCCACAAATAGTTCTGCCACTCCGTACGCAAAAACCAAGGAATAGAATAAGAGGTAGAGGAGAAAAAATGAACCACCAAAGAAGAGTCTGTCTCGAGCCAAAGATGCTTCCAATCTCTCACCCAAGCAACTTTGATAGCCTCAAGAAACAGAAAAATTGGATTTTTATTAATTTTGACGTCTTTACTCAAAACACCCGAAGCATTACACTTTCCACAGATTTGGGCTCGATCAACCTATACATGAGCTATGAGTTAGGTTACGATGAGGGGTTATAATAAGAGCTGAGTTCTTAATAATTGTACGATTAAGTAAAGAGTTACTATTGGACTATTGGATTGAAATCCCTCATTATAACCCCTCAACATAGCCCATCATTATAAAAGCTCTAGAACATCTAGTCCATTCCAAGTACTAAAACTTTTGACTTAAGCCACAAAAACTAGAGATCGATGATGTGTGTTTTTGAGTTTATAATAATATTATCTCATGAATTGCGTTTTGAGTGGCCAACGCTAATATCCTTTTTGAATGTAAACGTGTTATAACATAAGAGGACCATGCAGAATCACAAATGTTAATATATTTTGTATTAATCCAACATTAGGGGCCTACTTTGCTTTTCTTAATTGTGTCGTGTTTCACTTTAATCTTGAAGTTGATGATTTAGTCATTCCCCATTGAGTTTTCTAGGTGCAAGGAAGATTTAGAACATCATCATTTTGTCTCATTAAATCAGCCATTCAACCTAGAAGAACTTAGGAAGGCCTCTGATAAATTTCTCTCCACCGTCAAAGCTTGATAACGCGTCGTTGGTAAAGTACCTTTATATATCGTCCTAAGATTCTTTCTTTCTCTCTCCTTTCCTCGTTTGGATCTTTACTTGCTAGTTAAGAGTTGATGACACACTTGCTCATCTCTCATTCATTCTTATTGGTCTCAATCAAGCCTTGAACTAGCTAATATAATATTATATTAGCCTAAAAAAAAAATTTCTAGATTTTAGAAAGAAAAAAAAAACCCATAATTTTAAGCTTGTGACTCCCCAAACATAAACATCTACCTCAGCTACTGCACTCTTGTCCTGTTATATGGTCTTTCATTTATGAAATGTACTTGGATTAACCCGGTTTGAAGAACCGGTTTGTTATTCGTCGACCCGGGTTTGAAATGTACGTACTTACATGGGTCATGATTTCTAGCTCTTTCTGCAATGACAAGCTATTGATGAATATTAGTTATGTAGGGACGAGGAACTTGTACAAATAATTAAGCATGCATGTTCTTAGAACTTACACATGCAATATTTAATAATCCTGCAATACAGCGCTGCAATTGCAAGCCACTTTCTGGCTACTAGTAATTTAATTGCTGCGAAAGCTAAGTAATTTCAACCATAAATGAGTTGCAAAAACCTATATACAGCCAACGTGCAGTCCAATACAAATATGCACTTCATTTTATCAAGTCAATGAAATTAAGCAGCAAACAGGCTCTTTGATCCTTCAATTAGTTACCATCTCTTCCGGGTCAACCACGTTTTTTTGTCAAAGTAAACTCTCCTATAGTCATAGGAGAAGGATATTCACCTATAAGTTATAAGGCCATTGACTTGCTGAAGCGACTTGGAAATGCATATCGTTTATAAAAGGCTAGCATTTGCACCTATTTTCCAGTATACTTGAAGAAGACAATCGATCGAGATGGCTCAACAAGCAACTGCATCCTCAAGGATTGCCTCTCTTATTTTGAGAATCTTGACCTTCATTCTCTTGTTGATATCACTCATTGTGCTTGCCACCAACACCGTAGGCTCCAGCGATGATGACTCCAAAGTTCGTTTTACCGATTTTTATGCCTACCGGTAAGCAATCATAGTCGCGGTCGCAGTCGTGGTTTTTTCCTTGTCTAATCATAGTTTGAAAGGCTTAATTACTAATTATTTGAATTGTAAAATTGGTGCAGATACATGCTTGCTACAATTGTCATCGGCATTGCATATAGTCTCCTGCAACTTGTACTCACAATCTTTAATATCGTAAGGGGCGGGGATGGCATGCCCTTCCTTGACTTCTTTGGTGACAAGGTACATTTTTTCTTTCATCTTTTTTAATTTTCGGCACAAAAAGCTTCCCACAAGTTTTTTTTTTTTTCCCTCTTCTATTCTAGCAAACAAAACCCATGTCAATTGAGCCTGTGAGGCCCGCTGGCCCAATAGGCAAAACAAGAATTTTCAATTTACATTATTTTTGGTTGGGATTTTTAATACAAAAACTTGTGTTGGGCATGCAGTTCATATCATACGTGCTAGCAACTGGTGCTGGTGCTGGGTTTGGTCTGACTGTAGACTTGAAGAGACTGATGGACGCATCTGAAGTAGACATGCTCAACTTTGACGATAAGGCCTTTGCATCGGCTAGCCTCCTCCTCCTCGCATTTGTTACCACTGCCATATTATCAATTATCTCTGCCTACACTCTCCCAAAGAGAGTTTGATTGCTGCCAACCCAAACACGTCCTTCTATTTTCATAATATGTACGTACGTACCAACAAATCATAAATGGAGGCTTTGCGTAACCAAGAACTAAATTTCAATAAAATATATATATATTTATTTGTGTGGGTAGGATATTGATATTGTTACACAATTTGATGAAAAATTCCATTGGAGAATCATCCCAAATTTTAATTTTAACTAGATAGTTGTGCCAACCATTGGGGTCCTAAATTGTGACATGTTTTAGTACTTTAATCTTAAAGTTGCTCATTAGCCTTTACCAATTGGGTTAGCTTCTGGCGTACGCAAGATTAATTAGAACACAATCAATTTTCCAGATAACCAAAATCTAACAGTCAAAGAGCTTGGACTGCGTTGGTGAAGTAAATTATTGGCTTGAAGCCTTGAGCTATATCTCATTAAGAATAATTAACTTAACCTAACGGAAATATGGAAGGGTGTCACCAATGAGAAGGTCTTGTCTACCTAATGCTCAAACTTCTGTAATAACCATGGAAACTTTTTTTTGTTTTCTTTTTGATACAAGCGATAATCTACTTTAAACTAATCTAAACTATAGAAAGAGAGATTCAAACTCGGGTGCAGAGTGAAGAGCACTTTCACTCTAGTCAACTTGTGTACAATTACATCTATTTTCCTTATCTTTTTAATCAACTCAATTTCTAGTCTCTAGGGGCCGGATGGCATTGGCTCTGTGCGGTCATTATTAAAATACTTAAACAGACAACGAAATACACGTAATAAATTCTGATAAGAATGCCAAATCATATACAATAGATATCATGCAAGCATCAACATGATATTCTAGTCAAGAATAATCTTACAAGCCACTAGCCTTATATTGCTCTTATATTTTTATGAATGGGAATTTTGAGAGTTTTTGGGAGAACACCACTAAACTAAAGCTAGCTTAATAATGCTCAAGCAGATAGAGAAATAATGAATCCATTAAAACCCAATGCAAGCCAACAAGATCTCTTATTTTAATGGCTTAGTTGCCAATTTGCCATCACTTCCAGGTCAAGCATACCTTTTTTGTTTTTTTTGTTTTCAAAGTAAACTTTCCTTTTTTGTTTGTTTTCTTTGTTGGTACTTATTTTAAAAATTATTGACTTGGTACTCAGTAGGTATGAGTGCTATGCATGGTTTGTGTATAAAACCCTAGTAGTTCGCATCCGTTTTGCAGTATAGGCTAAGCTTGGTGTGGCTGGCTGCAGGACTAGCTAAGGCAGAAGAAGATGGTATAAACAGAAGCACACCGGCGCTACCACCACCGCTGCTGCCACCACCATTTTATTCTTCTGTATCTTCAAGGCTTGCTTCTCTAATATTGAGGATCATTACCTTCATTCTCTTATTAATATCCCTCATAGTGCTTGGCACCAACAGAAATATTTTTGCTCACCACTTTAACCCAAGGTGTATGCTCACCACCCTTCTTAATACTTAACATGTGTCCGTAAGCATAACCATGGTTAACCGACCACCTTTTCATATCATCTCTCTAATTAATATAAGTGAGACTTATGTAAATAGTCCCAGACCGTGATACTAGAGACTTACTCGCTATATTTGTATGCATTAATGAATTGGATGAAAATAGTATGGAGGATGTAACCACTGGCGGATCTAGTAAGGCGCAAGGAGGTGCAGCTGCACCTCACCTCGCCGGAAAAATCATTATAGGTGCTTCAAATTGCCCCTTTGCTCAAGTGGTGTATAGATTACCTTATTTCCATTTTCAACATTTAAGTAAATATCTTTGTTCTTTTACTTTTATTTATTTTTATATTACTCTATTTACTTAAGTTTACAATGTAAATAAGGAAGTACCCCCCATTTGGATTCAAATAAAAATACTAGAAAATCAAATTTCCACCAAATCAAAATATGAAAATTCGGTTTTAGTGCAAAATACGATTTAGGCTAAAAATGATGGTTCATTAAGTCAATATATACTTCATACTAAAATCCCATAAAATCAAGTTTTCTTATTTGATGTGTAAGGAATAAAAGCCGCCAAAAATTATCTTGAGAAAATGATTATTCCAAAAAACCATTTTTCATACCAATATTGCACCTCTGCTAAAAAATTTCTAGGTCCGCCAGTGGATGTAACCTAACCAAATTACCACTTCGGGCATGCAGTTGATATCAAACCTTCTAGCAACTGGTACTGGTGCAGGGTTTGCCGTAACTGTAGACACAAAGCGATTGACGGACGCTGATCCTCGATTTGAGTCAATTGACATGCGGGAATTTTATGACAAGGCATGTGCATCAGCTACCCTCCTTCTCCTCGCATTTTGCTCTACTGCAATGTTATCTATCATCTCTTCCTATACACTCCCAAAGAGAGTTTGATTGCTGCTGGCAAAAGCAAAAACCATTTATTTCCAATTTGCCTTTGCTAATAAGACACCCATGACCTTGAATGAAAGTGTCAAGGATCTATATGATTATTATATCTTCCCATGCTTTTCATCTTCAATTCTCTACAGAAGAGGATCCATATGGGACTTAAGGCTGGTCCACAGCCAAGCTTAGGCCAAACCTAAGCCTAAGCCCAAGCCCAAGCCCAAAAAGGCCAGCAAAACCCTATTTGTTAACCATTTGATCAAATTGATTAGTTCGATTTAATGGTTAAGAGATATGACCTTAGATAAGACCCTCACTATAGAATGACTCCACCAAACACAACATGCTTTTTGAATAAAGGGGTTGATTTACTAATCTTGGAGACCCATCAAACATGAATTTAAGAATTTATTTTAATTAAAGATTCTTTTTTTGGCCAAGGATTTTAATTAAGTATGAGTTTCTGTTTGCCTCTCTCTCTCTCTCTCTCTCTCTCTCTCTCTCTCTCTCTCTCTTATTTAGTTATTTAAGAGCATCCACAATGATGCTCTCTATTTCTTAGTTAAAATTTAGCTAAAAATATAAGAAAGCTATTTTAGGAGCTCCCTAAAAAATTTCAACTCCAACCATACACCATAATTTGGAGAGTCATAAATGCTATAACTCTTTTTTGATTGGTCCATCTCTATTAAAAAATAAAATAAAAAATAGTTAACATTAAATAAAGATTTGAAATACTCATTAAATAAAGCATAATTAAATTATAGGGAGTCACTAAGAGTCATTTCTCTCTCCTCAAATTTAGGAGCTCCTAAAGGATTCCCTATTTTAGGAGGTGGATAGAGAGCATGTTTGGAGTTACATTTTTACGATTCCTCCCTAAAATTTGTCTAAGGAGGTGGTTTAGGGAGTCCATTATGGATACTCTAAGTCTCAATAACAAATTGCATAAAACAAAATTTCGACCTCCCTTTGACCGCCCTTTCCTTACTCAATAACCATATTAATATGTGATGATAAATTAGGCTTGTTAATCAACTTGCGTGATAGTAATTATAAAAGAAAAGAAAAAACACTTACCTGTTAGCTAGTAATGCGACATTATTAAAATTGAAATTGAAAAAAAAAAACTCTGAAATCTTCATTAACAATGTTCAATGACATATAAAACTACGAAACGCTTTTGAATTTTTCGCCATAGGCCTCTCTCAGCATTGGACCGAAGTTGATAGGACTAGTGTTCCACAAAAATTTATAATATATATGCTCAACATAGAATTTATGTTGTCTTGTTATTACCTTCTTTTTTTTGGGTCAATCACAGTTGATTCATGCCCCAAAACTATGGGGAGGTGGAACAAGAGGAACATAAATGAAGTGGTGTTGTTATTGTGCCGGGGATCGATGTTTCAATGGAGAGAAACTGATGGACAGTGGAAAAGAAAGGCCACCCACCCGGCCTTTCCGTGCCTCCCATTCTTAGTAAAATGTTAAACATATTTAGAAAACCCATAAATCTTGAAAATCAGTACAAATCCATTAAACATAAAACAAAAATCTTGACAACCCAGTAGTGAAAGAAGGGTATGTTTGATGTTGATATTATTGGAGGGGGATTGCACCCAAGGGGCGGCAGTGCAAAGTAGGCAGATTGCCTATAGGGGAAACTGCTACAGTCTTCTTGTTTTTTCAAATTTTATTTTATTTTATTAAAGGTAAAGTTGGAAGACAAAGTCCAACAGTGAAAAAAATTTAATTTTCTTTTCAAAAAAGACACGTGGCAGATTTTGAATGGGAGTATCACTAGTTGACGTGGTGATACCGTATCACTCTATAATTTCTCCATAGGGAGAGAGAGAGAGAGAGAGGTAGGAGTTACTTAACGTTAGAAAAAAAAAAAAAAAAGTTTAGTGTTAGTTTACGTGTCATGTTGTTTAATCATTAAATTACTATAATGGTTCAGATTTTACAAAATGCGGGAAATGCAGAAGGTCAAATTGCAGAGGCTCGCGATCTTGATAAGATGTCGTAAGCCAAAAAACTCTTGCAGAAAATGAATTCAAAAGCAATCAACTTCTAGGTTTTTCCAGCTTAATTTCATTATATTTTATACTTTCCCACAACGCAAACGTTACGGATCATACAATAACCCCCCAAGCAGTGGTTGCCGCCATGTCATAGTTGTCATAAATATGTAACTTTATATTGTATAAATATAAATATACTATAAATTATAAATATAAATATACTATAAATTATTACTAGGCAGTTCACCTCACCATGCATATAGGCCAAGCTTGGGTAAGTCAGCCCCACAAGAAAGTTAAGCCAATCCAGGACAGTTCTCGTAGTTTAATTGTCTTTTCTTCTGCCATTTAACCCAATCCAGGATCTCATCTTCTTTTTTTTGGGTCAAAATCCGGGATCTCTAATTTAATGGCTTCTTAGATATGAGTGCTATGCATGGTTTGTATATGAAACCCTATGGTAGTTTGCATCCGTTTTGCAGTACAGGCTAAGCTTGGTGTGGCTGGCTGCAGGACTAGCTAAGGCAGAAGAAGATGTCAGAAACAATTGCAACAATAGAAGAAGCTGCACCACCACCACCACCACGGCCGCCGCCACCATCTTATTCATCTGCATCTTTACGGATTGCTTCTCTAATATTGAAGATCTTTACCTTCCTTCTCTTATTAATATCCCTAAT